TATTTCATCGAGGCACGTAATATATGCCTTTAAAAAGCATTTTTTTCTAATTATAATAATGTTGCGAATGCTTATAAAAACTATCACATATAAATTAAATGCATTTGAAATTATACAAGCTAGCTGATTGGCTAAAAATTTAAACATGACTACAAATTATTAAGAATTATGTCGTTATTTTTAATTGATCGGTTTCTTAAATAATTACACACTTACTTTAAATTTTAATGATCTTATCTTTGCTGAATGGAAACATTTTGGAAACTGGCTACTTGCGATGCCGTGGAGTAAAATGCTGATAATCAGGCATCAGGTTATTAAAAATACCTTTGGTTCGGCTACCGCAGAACGAGTTGGCAGTATGTGCGATTTGGAATTTGTCTCCATGTGTAACTTTAATCCAGCAATTTCCATTGTAGCATGATCCTTAAGCGACAAAGCTAAATACTGAGCTATGTTTTAGTTAACTATTAAATTTTAAAAAATATTGAATTTGTTTGAGATGATCTTTGATGAGTCAGGCAAACAGTTACCAGCATTCCAGTACAAAATTTGCGCAATTTCAGCTTCACTTAAGTCTAACCTTTCAGAAATATGAAGACTTTCCCTTAAATGCAGGAATGGAGGAACGTGTTAATCCAAGCGCTTAAAGACCAAACTGTGTACTATTCAAGTAATATATGCTCATATTCAATAATGACAAATTAAATACCATTTATTTGCAAAGGAAAGGGATATTAATTAAATCTGCATAAATTTTGTATCATCCAAATAAAGAGCGTTATATGTAAAATCAGAAAACCGATTTTAAATTAATTCTTTTAGCTGATTTAAGAGTTAAACCTTTCTTATTTAGCTTTATGAAATAAGCCTGTATACTTTTATGTCGTCCGTTCCGCCAGAGCTCTGTGACCAACATATTCTAGTTCAGACTTGTGCTACAAAATTCCTTATAACCTCAACTTCCCTAACATTTGAATAAAACTTCTGTCCAGTTTACTTTAAAACATATTTTTATCATAGGTAAGAATTTCGTTTTCGTTTTGAATTTATGTAACAATGTATTTGTGCCTGAATTTCAATAAAGTGAATTTATGTACAAGATTAAAATACGATTAATTTTTTAAAGTATGCATTTTGTGGAACTCATCTATTTTGTCATTTTCATTTTTATTGTTCAATTTATTTTATTATTATTGTTCTTAAAATCCATAACAGCTCATTGTCGTAACTAGACTTGAATGAGAGATATTTACAATGCAATATTTAACAGTCATGTTTTCAGAAGTCAATGGATTTAATGTCAATTAATTAATTTTCAGCCGAATGAATTACATTCTTAATTGATAAATACACAAATTCTGCCTAAAGGAATGTAAGGAATGTAAAATTTAACTGCCTAAAGAAATGTATAATTTAACTTTTTGAGTAAAAAAAAAGTGGTGAATCATCGAGCTTAGGTTTCCATATTCTAATTAAATCCTAAATTGCACGTAGTCATAAACACCTAGTCTTCCAGAATGGAAATCTGTTAGTTAATCAGAAGGTCATAAATCAGTTTTTTTATAAATATTTAGTTAGATTTATATAAAATTTGTGAGCTAAATAAGAAAATTAAGCCTTCCCAATTAAATGAGCCAGAGTTTCCGAATGTGCAAACCAGCAACAATAAATCGTACAAAAATTCGACTTCTGCTTTTAATGAAAAGTTATACTTACTTTAGCTTGCTTATATATCGAAGTTTTTATCTTTTCAGTAAAAGTAAAAAAGAAGAAAGTAGCAGCTTATTATAATCTATATATATACTATAATTTTTTTTATCTTTAATGAAGAGGAATTCTTTAACCTACGCATATCTTGTAAAGCGTCATAAAGTCCTTTTGTAATTAAGCTAATGCTGTGTATGTTAACGAAATAATTAAGCTTCTCAAAATATCATCATTATCTTTCTCAATAAAAATTAAATCATTGCATTGAATTCTTAACAAATTAACAGCATTTAAATTGCTATTAATCTTGTCACCATCGAAAGGTATAATTACATTCTTCAGCAAAAGCACATTGCTTTTAACATAGGGCCTTTGTTTGCTAGTTAATTATTATTATTTAGTCTTTCTTTCCTTCATATATATTTTTTAATCCAGTTAATTCTTCCGTTTCCGAATTTCATTTAATTCTAGCCTGTGTTCATCGATAGGGCCTTTGTGTTGGACATATTTAATGACGACATATCAAAAGCATTTTTACCACTCTCGAAATGTATGCTAAGAGGATGCAGTAATCTTAAGTTTTTAATTTCATAAATTCAAAGCTTTCTCTCCTATTCAGAAGACTGTCTTATTTCCAATATTGCCATTCCGTGTTTAAATATTTTAATAAATAAGATTCCGTACTTTAACTCCTATAAATATTTTTCAGTTATCTCTTCGATTTTTTATCAGTATCACAGGGGTGGTCAAGCATTCACTTTTCGATTTAAATTCTTCTCTACAAGAATTCGCTTTTAGATTTAAATTCTTCTCTACAAGAATTCGCTTTTAGATTTAAATTCTTCTCCCCAAATCAATCATTTTTCCCATTTTGGATTCACAAGTCCTACTGGGAGTGTCCGCCGAAAACACTGAGGGAAAATCTATTGGAAGTGTTAGGCTAACCTAACACTTCCAATATCCATTATTTGACGTTTTATTTTAATTCAGATTTAGTATTTCTCAGCTCTGAAGCGAACCTCCATTTCTTTCTTCTACCAATATTGGCAGTGTCATTTTTTCATGTTTTTAATCAGGAACAAATTCAGAAAAATTAATAAATAATTTTCGGACCATTTCAAAAAAACTGCGAATTCTATAATTGTTCAAAACAATGATTAAACCCAATATAAAGATATAATTCAAAAATTTAATATTTGTTTGTTTTTTTGTTTTTATTAAAATTCCTTCTACCTTGCAAACTCACCTCCATCTTGTAAACTGCTGTTTGTTATAAAGCCAAATAGTATAAACCTGCAAGAGAAATTTCAACTGATGTATCACTTGTAACAGTATATGTGCCATCCATTAAAACAATTTGCCATACATATATAATGAAAATAAATTTAAAAAATACACGTTTTAAAGTAAACTAATGTTCATTTGATTAATTTTTGGTGTTTAATTTTTAAGATCATATTTGCATTTATTTTTTTTTTTTTGGACTGCCTTTGTATCGTTTTCATTTTATGCGTATTTGTTTTGATATCGTTTTGGACACTCAGCTTGCAATTTACATATGGACTAAAATTTGGGCAAAGTAAAGGCTGTTTTTAATTTTTTATGTTTTTGAAATAGGCGCACTGTAGGTACTGCTGCTCAAAATAATGTAGGGGTTGGACTGATAAAAACTACTTATTTTTCTTAACTTCGGCCGGTAGGGGTTGGAATAAAAAACCTGTCTTACTGGTTACAGGCTGATTTACTTACTTCTTTCGTTGCAACAACTTTCTGATGACGATTCAACGAAAGATGTATATTTCATTTTTGGTTTTGGAAATGTTTTCCCAAACAACCTCTTACAGTTTGCCACTATGCTTCTCGGATTTGGTTTCGTATATGTTTATTCCAAATTGAACATGGGATGAAGTAAAAATGTTTAATTATTTTTTTATTTATTTTGTATTATTATCATCATTTGTTGTTGCTTTCACAATTGGATCACACTTTTACAATTGGATCGTAAAAGTGTTGATCCATAATGACTAGGAAATGGGAGGCGAATGCAGATTAAATCTTCAGTTTTATTTTCAGCAACATGTTACGGCTACACACAAGTCGGCATATTAAATGTGACTGTTCTAAAAGGCTTACATTTTTGATAACTTTGTAGCCAGAAAGCAGCAGCAGACAGACATCGGTCCAGCTAAGGCAAAGAGTAGAGAGAAAGTGCGTAATGTTCAGGATGAAATCTGAAGTCAAATTGAGTTAGTTTTGGTTTTCAAAGCATTTCGATTGAATAGTTAATATTGCTATAAAATTATTATTGGCTGCCTGAGTTTTAGTTCAGTTTACACCACCAGAATTACGTAAGAGTCGTAAGACATCGATTTTTTTCGAAATGACGCAAAGCAAATAGATATTGCTATTTTTAAAATAGAGAAGGGAAATTAATTTACGCTGCTAATTTAATCTTTTACATATTCTTTATTTTTCTTACATATATACATATATTTATAGATATCTATATAGATATATTGCATGAATCTGTAAAAAAAAGCACGTCTTCACATTTCGGAAAATAGAAAAAGTACTAATAGTGTTTACAATGATAGGTAAGGTTAGCAAACCTGTAAGCAGTTACTTGTAAGATCAGCAAAATTCTGAAGGAATTTGATGCGATTTCTTGCGGCTATAGTTGCTGTTAACAATAAGCTCTGTCAATATTCTTCGAATTTCATCACTAAATGCAGTTAAAGAAAGATACAGTCAAAAGCTCTAAAGCTTTCTTTGTCTAAGACTGAATCATTCTTTCTTGAGTAAGATAAGAATGAAAAACGTGAAAATGTTTTTGTTGTTTAGTTGTATAACTATTATTTAGCTTAAGGCTGTGTAACATACTACGGTTATTACATATCTAGGAAAAATAATGCGAAGATTATGTAACTGGTGGCAAGCGTTCTCAAATTTTTCACAATGCGAAAATTATGAATGAATTTGTGTCAACTACCATGCGAATTATGTTTAATACTCTAACGCAATCAATTAATAAATAAATTTAAATTAAAAACAAGCATTTAGTTTTAATAATTTAATTTCTGATAATGCAGCAAATCATTCACTTAAAAAATTAATTGAAAGAGATTGTTAATGATGTGTACTTGAAATATTTTTTCAAGCGCACATCAATCATATTAAAGATGCTGAACATCTCTAACCGACATATGAGGAATATACATGAATATACAAGATTTCAAAATGTTTCTAAACTTGTCTTCTTCATTTGTTACAAATGTATTTGTTTATTACAGGTGTTGATTACATGCATCCTGATCTGCAAGATAGCTATGTGAGTATTCTTTACAATGTTCTGTTTTTAATGAATTGTCCTAATTTAATTTTCTAAAAAGAAATTAATTTTATCGAATATTCGCCTTTGGTAAGATTGAGTAGAAAAATAATAAGAAGACCACTTGTTTTAAATGTGTTAGAAAATTCATTCATTTTCTTTCTGTCCCAAGTACCCAGTACTTCTGGGAGCAAAAATTAACATCGTTATGAAACATCACCTCTTTAAGTCAACTGCCCCTACAGAAGATCAAAATCCCTTTGAACGTGGTCGTCTTAGAGAGGATTCGTCTTAATCAAAATAATATTGCAATGGCAAACATAAATATTTCAGAGAACTGTGAATGTCTTAGACGCATAAAACGCATATTTTTGCGGCTTTTTATCATTTGATATTTCATAGCTTCTTTTATTTTTTAACCATGATGTACAACGGTGTTTTAAAATTTCGTCACTCACTGATTTACTTTCTATGCTGATGTTTTCTTCTGAGATGTTTTAGAACGATGCACTTTTAAAATGCCTTTTTTCTCGTTCCTACCAGGATGTTAATGCCAGCTTGCGTTATTTTTTCTCCAATGCGTTTCCTCGCTATGATTTTGACGCGATATTTTCTGCAGTCACCAATTTCGCTGCTCCCGAATAGTGCCGAGTTAATACTTAAAGGTTTCTATCAGTCGGACACTTCAGAGTAGCAAGTTCTAAACTTATATAAATGATCGAATTTTAGGTTAAGCTTTCGTCGAAAATGGCCGAACCCATTCTTAATTTAACCGTTACATCACCGAGTTTCCCAGAAGGCGGCAGATTCAAGAAATGCCCCATAAATTGGCCGCTGCTATTGTAGGAAGTAAGTGAAACGATAACTGAACATTTGAAAAAGGGTACAATCGTCTTTTGAGAAGTGATATTTCTCAAGACACGAAAAATAATATCAGATCTTTAGGGTAAAAAAAGTACTTCCTAGTTGTCAGATTACCAGTTAAATAAAAAATCTTATGCGGACTCCACGTGACTTCCTTGTACGGAACATTAAACTATACGCATTTTTTGTTGCATTTCCTCTAAATTTCTTTCCTCGAATTTCATTAGAGATATATTTCTCATTCAATTAATTCAGTTCTCACTTCGCGGTAAGGAAAAATTCTTAAAACCTCGAAATATCTTCATTAAAAATTGAAAAATATAGAAAAAAATAAAACACCAAATATAGTTAAAACAATAAAATAAAACAAAAACATTTTTGCAATCAAAATTAAAGTTTCTACATAAAAACAAGCAATTCGGCCAGCAGGCAGCAAGGAACATTTTTCGGTGAAAAAAACTGAAAGTTTACTTTTGGTCCTAGTCGGAAAAGAAAAAAAAAAAAAAAACAGTGAAAGTACAGAAACTGACTTAATTCGTTATTCTGCTAAGTTTAAAATGTAAATAAATATGGCTGCTGTGGTAAACAAAAATTAGGTTTCGCCGCACTTAAACAACTTTTAAATTCTTAATAATCCTACAAGTATTGCATGCAAATTAATAAAGGCATAAACACCTTAATCGGAAGATAAGATATATATATATATATATACGTATCCACTCTTATATATAGCACAATGCGCAAAATTTTGATCAAAATTGGTCTTTTTTCGTTTGTTCTTACAACCTTACTTATAATTATATATATACATAAATATATAATTTTGGTGCGGCCGATTGAAACCGAAAAGAGATGTGCCCAACTACATGTTATAGCAGTCTTATATACAAAATTTCAAGGCTCTAAGGCCACTCTTTTTTAATACTACTTGTTATGCGAGATACATACATTCGTACGTACGGTACGTACAAACGTAACGAAAAAATCTCTTCTGAATCCATTTTAACTCCTTTTTGCAACCCGTTTTCGGAAAAAGAGTCCTCGGTTCTCTTCTTAAGTACAGATGTCACGCAAAAAACATCGTTAACTTGCATTTCATAGCGGTCAAAATGGATATTTTCGTTGAAATATGACACCCGAAAATTTCCGCGATTACCATACTCCCTTTATTTCGTGCAAGGAAGTATGAGACTGAGCTCACAGAGTCGAGTAACAGAGTAACATATATATATATATATATATGTGTGTGTGTGTACTTTTGGCGTGGCCTATTGCAACCAAAAAGGGAGATGCACAACTACATGTTATAGCAGTCCTATATACAGATTTTGAACGTTCTGAGATACTTGTTTTTGAGTAATGCGAAAAACACTCATACAAACGTATGTATTGAATCCATTTTAAATCAATTTTTTTAATCCGTTTGGGGGAAAAAAGAGTCCTTTATTCTGTCCTTGCGTGCAGCTGTCACGCAAAAACATCGTTAAATTACATTCGATAGCGGTCAAAATGGATACTTTCTTTGAAATATGATACCTGGAATTTTTCACGATAGCAATGCTTACTTTACTTCATGCAAGGAAGTAAAAAGAAATTGATCGAATAGCTGAGAGATAATATATTTTAAAAGCCAGAAGAAAGTTGCTTATTAGTTTTTGAGGAGATATCATTAGTTTTTATGCAGATAAGAATGAATGGTAAAGTTATGTTTTCCTTTACAGAAATGGAACTACTCGAAAGATTTTTCTTTTCTAGTAACTTTATTAACACTCTGCGTACGGCTCCCTTGATTTCCACGGGATACAAAATCCGTCTAGTAATACCGGTCGCGTGAACATAGCCGTACGTAAGTTTATTTTTCTTATTTTCAAAACGTATCCCGCTTTTGTTATCCCGAATATTATAATATTCATATTTCAAGTTTCGTTTTTCACTTAGATGGCGCTACTAGTTTATATCATTGTAAGAGAGTACTATCGTTTCTTCACAGCCGAACACGATTGAAGCTGTTGCTTTTTTCATTGTGGAACGATAAGAAAATAGTAACTATGCTTAATTCTTTTCATGATGCAATTCAGTTCAATATTTGTATCAGTTCATTTAGAGACGCCTAAAGGAAAGTAAGCCGAATGTGATTTATGATTATAACTTTACAATGAATGGGTGGTGTAGACAGATGCGACCAGGACATGTCGTGCTATCCTGGCACCCGAAAACAACTTCGTAAGTATTACAAGAAAATATTTTTCCATGTATTGGATCAAGCAATGTGGAATTCGTATATAATATACTGAAAAATAAAAAATACGAAAAATTCCCTTCTTGGTTTCAATCTAGTCGTGATCGGGGAAATCTTTGACAAATACTCTTCTGCTATATGATCATCAATACGGTATAGCGATGATATGTGGTGAATTTTATTCACCTTGTACAGAAGCATTTTTCAAGCCACATACCACTAAATTCTATAAAAAAGGACCTAGAAGGCAATGTGCTGTGTGTTGCTTCAATATAGACAACAATGGGGGGGGGGAAATACGTAGACTCGGATTTGGTGTTAAGAATGTAAAATTTGTTTCTGTTTAGAGCCATGCTTTACCACACTAAAAAAATTGTACAATAATTAGTGAGTACAAGTAATATTATTAGCTCTACAAATTAGTTAGCATGTATATTTATCAAAATCAAAAAGATCGTGTGTATTTTTTAATTTTTTTATTCGATTCACGCAGAAAGTAAAATATGTGGATATGGGCTCCGAAAGTATACGTAGACGAAACATGTTTAGGAACTATTGGTCTGTATGCTGTCAGTAGAGAGAATATACTCATGGCAATACAGTCAACAGAACAGTTTTTAAAATAAAAAGAGTTTAATTCCTGTATTAAAAATTAATAGACTAAACTTCAAAATTTTATTTTTAAAATTTCTTTTAACATCAAAAGGTTATTATTGTTTTCACAAAAGAGTCACATTTCTTTTATAAATAAAATTGAAGTATCGATCACGGCCCCTCAGTTCAAAGAGCAGCTCTTTCAATAATAGCCCTCCTGCAATCGAAAAGAGTAAAATGTTTGTTAAATAATCTTAAATGTATTTAAATGATTTATTTTGTGCAACTATAAGTCACACGCTGCTGCAGCACTTTTTAATTATCTGCAACCTTGGCCCAAAGTATACAAACGACAATAAACAACGCATGCATGCGCGTACGACATAGTGTTTGAATACACGTGGCCTTTACGTGCTATATACACGTGTCGCTGCGTACGTGCGGGTTATTAATGCATTGAATCACCACAGAACTGATGATGGATTGATAAATTTTATTTACCCAAAAGGGACATAATTCTGTTCTCGTACAGCTCGAGTTCTCGTACAGCTCTTCTCAGTACACAAAAGTTCTCGTACAGCTCTTCTCAGTATGACAGAGCACAATCACTAATTACCACTTCAAGTACCTTCGATAACTCGAAATTGCTGCAAGACATATACAGTTGCAGCTTTATATATAGGTCTGGATACTAATAGAGTTGTATAGACATAGATCAATTACAGTCATACAGGTACCGGAACGATACACCAGCACCGTCATTGCTCGCATCTGTGTCAAGAGTAAATGGTTTATCGAGCTGAGGATACGTCAAGAATGTCGCAGACGTTAAAGCCTCCTTCAGTTTGTTAAATTCATCCTCATATTCTTTTTTCCACAAGAAATTGTGATGAAAGAAACGCCCTTCACAAATTTTTATAGTAGGCTCTAAGCCCCAGAAAACTTCTCAGCTGATAGACATTTTTACGGCATCTCTAGTCTTTAACTGCCGACACTTCTTTAGAGACATAAACATAGCTTCGGCGGAAATGACAGGTCGGAGGTAAGTTTCTTGCTGTCTGAACAGATTAAATTTGCAGGGCTTAACTTCTCAGAAATTGAAAAAATGCCTTCCTTTAATTTCTGAGACACTATCTCCCAGTGATGATCGTGTTTTCAAGGTATAACAGGCAAACTTCATAGCAAAGATCTCTCAGCGAAATCTCAAAAAGACATTTGAGATTGGCCGACACGTTATATAATCCAAACGGCATCACGTATAACTGAAAAAGCTCTTGTGAGATAGTAAATGCCGTCTTTTCTG